AAAACCTCTCGCCACACTCGCCCTAGCAACTGCTTGCGTTACGGATCCTTTCTCTGGCATGTTCTTTTAGCTTGCCAGAGGCGGGCAACCACAGGTGAGCCAGGCCTCCAGCTCTTTCTTCCTTCCTCCTTCCTTCCTTCCTTCCTTCCTTCCTTCTTTCCTTCCTTCCTTCCTTCTTCCTTCCTTCCTTCCTTCTTTCTCCCTCCCTCCTTCCCTCCCTCCCTCCCTCCCTCCCTCCTTTCTTCTTTCTCTTCTTCCTTCTCCTTCCTTCCTTCCTTCCTTCCTTCCTTCTTCCTTCCTTCCTTCTTCCTCTTCTTTTCTTTCTTCTTTCTTTCTTCTTTCTTTCTTTCTTCTTTCTTTCTTTCTTTCTTTCTTTTTTTCTTTTTTTTTTTTTTTTCAGGGTCTGCCTCTGTCACCCAGGCTAGAGTGCAGCTGGCACATCTTGGCTCAGCCTGGCAACCTCTGGCCTCGTGGTTCAAGTGATTCTCCTGCTCGAGCGCGCTCCCGAGTAGGCTGGGCTAGAGGCCTTGACAACCACACCTGGGCTAATTTTGTTGTATTTTTGAGTAGAGAGGTTGGTTGCCACGTTGGCCAGGCTGGCTCCTCAAACTCCTGACCTCAAATGATCTGCCCACTTTGGCCTCCCAAAGTGCTGAGATTACAGGTGTGAGCCACCATGCCTGGCCCACCACCTGTTTCTTAAATAAAATTTTGGGGACACAGCCCCACCTATTTGTTTACGTAGTGTCTGTGGCAGCTTTTGTGAAGGAAGTTACGTGACCTGTAAAGCCTCCAATATTTGCTATCTGTCCCTTTATAGAAAAACTTTGCCAGCCCCTGACCTATGCTATAAAGCTCTTGAAAGAAACAAATAATCTTACTCATGTTTGCATTCCATGAAGCCTGAGTGGTGCCGGGGGCACAGAAGGTGTTTCATAAATGTGTGTTGGGTTAATTCAGTAACTTGAATCTCAGACGGACAGTGGCTCACACACTTACGTGTGCATCAGAATCACCGTGGGCATTTGTTAAAATGAAAGTTCCAGATTCCCAAGAGTGTGATTTGAGAGTCCTGGGGTGAAACCAGAGAATATACATTTTATTAATTACACATTTCCAAGGTGAGTCTGACGCTGATAGACTTAAATTAATCCTGTCAAGAGACATTGATGATGACACAGGGAATCAAGTGGGTTTCTAGCAGCATAGTGGGTGGACCAGAAAACCTGAAAATCCTTCTGCTATGTGCTTAAGAAAAACATGCAAAACTTAATTAAATGCAGAATTAAGTTCATAAAGTCAAATAAAGGAAATTTGCAGGGCACAAAGGAGTGACAGGAACTGACAACCAGAGCAATCCACATGAGCTAACCTGTGGCTGCCCTGGGGCAGGGATTAGAGGGTAGGCTTTGGTAACTTAAAGGCTGGGGTGTTCGTGGGCCAGCTGAGGTCAGGAGACAAGGCCTGAGGCCCATGCATGGTGGGGAGTTAGAACAGAGGACATCACCATAAAGCAGGGACCCTCAACAGATTATAACCCTGGAGAAGAGTGGGTTAGAAAAACCCTCCCACTGGCCCCAGGAGCTGCCCAACAAGCTAGTCTCTCTCAACTTTGTCATCCTTTAAGAATTCGCCAGACGCGGTGGCTCACGCCTTTGGGAGGCCGAGACGGGCAGATCACGAGGTCAGGAGATCGAGATCATCCTGGCTAACATGGTGAAACCCTGTCTCTACTAAAAATACAAAAAATTAGCCAGGCGTGACTCTGTCTCAAAAAAAAAAAAAAAAGGAATTCGACACCCACTGAATGTAAAGCCTAGCACAACCAGCTATGGAAAATGGCGCGTGTGGAGTCCTTACAGAACTAAAAGTAGTAACTACCATTCAAACCAGCAATCCCATTACTGGGTATCTACCCCAAGGAAAAGAAGTCTATTATATGAAAAAGTTACCTGCATATGCATGTTTATAGCAGCACAATTTGCATATGGAACCCAACCTAAGTGCCATTGACCAACAAGTGGGACAAAGGAAAATTGTTATATATATATATATATATTATACTATAATATATATATATATATATATGAATGACAGAGTACTACTCAGCCATAAAAAGAAAATGAATTAATACCATTTGGTCAG